TTTCAAGATTGAACACTCTTCTTTATTAAATACTAACGTATCAATCAATTTGGTACCATCTGGTCCCACGAAGTCTACAGTGCACTTGGACATTATTTAAAAACACAAAGATACAGAAGACTCCGGTATAACGCGAGGTTTTACAACGCGTATATGTCACTTAATTTTTTTTAAATTGTCCTATTTGATAAAACATAGAAAATAAAAGTTGCCATGGCAATAATCGTTCCAAAAATGTTACTTCAGATTATTCGCGTTATACGAGAAAAATTATTGTACAGCGCGATTTCTTACAACGCGTAACATATTAACCACCTTATACAGGAGTCTACTGTACAAGGAAAGAACGAGCATATTCTTGGATTAATTCGGAGAAAAGCATTTCTCATAGAATACTGGTGTTGCAACGCTTCAAATCGAAGGATGAAATACGCGAAGTCGTGGAGTGTATTCAAGGACTTGAAACTCAGGTAGATGAAAGTATTAAGAAACTAATTCCAGCCTTCCTAGAAAAAGGTCTAGGTCTTTTGAAATACAATCGAACCGACGCAGATGTAGCCCTCACAATGCGGACAAGATATACCTGAAAACCTTTTGTTCGTGATTTCCCGAACTGAAATTTCTGACGGAGACAAATGAAAAATTGTTGAGAAATTGACCAACAGGCTACCCAACCACGTTTCCATTCCATCGGTATTCCTTGCTCGATACCTGAGAACGCATAGCCGTGAAAATGACGAAGAATTATTCTTTTGTGAAACAGAAATAGGTACAATATTTCCTTTTACAAGCAAAGGAATTTTAGATTTTTGCAAAGCTGCAAGCTGAAATTTTCATTGTCACTTTTTGAAATTTATAATTCTTTGATATTCTGATTCTATGACTTTATGTGTAAAATAAAGCAAAAATTTGGGAAGAGAACTAAAATTGTTTAAATACTTTTAATAAATTATATTTATTCGAGATATTTAAATTAAACCCTTTCAATATATAGAATCTAATATTTTGTTTAATGAAAAGAAAACTGATTCGAATGCAAGCAACTGCTAATAAATGATTCTCCCTTCGATCATTATGACGGTTCTAATTCGAGTTTTCCGCCTAAATCTCGCACATACAGACACCTACGTTACCGATGCGGAAAAGGCTTGATACGCGTTTTCACCAAAAGATAGAGCCACGCACAGCGGTCGCGCGTTTCATACGGATATGCAACGTACGCCCATGCTGTCGATCTTATTCTATTCCTGCATTTTCTTGTTCTTTACATGAAAAATATTTGTAGCATTCGCAAACCACTGCCGTGCAACGTTCGCTGAATATTTCTATTAAAGTCACGTAAAAATTATACGCAAGTTTGTATTTCGTAACGTGGCGTGGTCTTCTAATGCGTCATTCGCCACAAACGGGCGCCTCTCTACAAATCTCCCATTAATGTTTCATTAACAAATTAATTCTACTTCTCCGGTGACTAACGGTAGATCTATCGAATATATACAGATTTTTATAAAAAGCACTATTTCCATCGAATTATAAAAATTTGACGATACCGAAGGGCGAAACCAAGTTCATAATAGAATTAAAATTTTCCTAAGCATTTAAATCTTCAAATAAGGTTCACGATAACAAATGAGAATTTATTTTTCTTTAAATCAGTATGTTTGATCGCTTTACTGATACACAACCTATCAAAAGCATGTGCTCATCATAGCAATGCTACCAACTTGATCACTGGAAAGATTAATTAATTAGCTAAGAAACGTTTCTTGCCAGGATAACAGAAGAATAAATAAAATCGGTCATTTATCTGAATTCTTAAGGTGTTTATTGACGCACCGTATCTTCGCGGAACGAATAATACTCCTCCTTTCTCCGTAAATGGTTTAAAATTTTGCTTGAAACGAGCTAACTGAATCTATGGTGAATCAGATGATTTTTATCGGGGAATTTATTCATACACGCAGCTGATGACGATCGTTCTACGAGGTTAAGAAGTGGCGGAAGCGTGGAGGAGGTGGAGGAAACATACGCAGCTCTCTCTCTATGTGTGTGGAAAGTTTTAAGTAATCTCAGATCGAATAGCCGAATTCCATGTGGCTTTGGAGACGCCATACGCGGGAAAAAAAGGATTCTTTAAGAGACATAACATAGCGGCATTCAGCTACAATTTAATCCTTGGATACTGGATCATACGATGGTCGCACAGAAAAGTGCTTTGGAAGAAGAAAATTTGATGGTAACTCATTTTTAACACATTCCCTGCCACGTATACTATTTACAGCATACGAGGAACTTCCTGCTTAGGCCGCGCTATATTTTTGCCAATAAAGAGTTGACAATTGTGCACGCGATATCGCGTTAATGGAACCGCAGAATATTGATAGACATCCTCAAATGCTACACCCATTCAACGAGTACTATTCCTTCTCACAATATTTCGACATTCTTTAATTTCCTTTTATCCACAGACGAGTCCTAATTACACGGTTCCACGGGCCACTTTTAGCAGAACATTAGGTACTGTATCGTTTACATTGGACGTGCATGCACGCATAACAAGGCATCGCTAACACGTTCATGGTATTATAGTCACGGAAACGGAACCAGAAAAAACTACTGTCTGTAGAAAAGCAACTTAGGGTTGTTCCACTTTATCCTCTATACGTTCTATTTATGGTTTGACGGTAAAGCTATAATTGGCCAGAACAGTATGTTTTCCCCTGTAACGCGTTATTATTTATGACACGTTTTCTATTATTACACTATGGTACAATGAGATTATCATGGTCCTGGCACACGCTTCTATCTATATATACTCTTCTGCCTACGTGGACATTTTTCGGAGGATCTTTAACCCTAATACCAATTATTTGAATAGAAGGCCTTCTATTTGAAAGTGCTCAGTTCCATTTATAGCCACTAAAATTAATTCTAATCAGAACGATTTTATATAAAATCAACATTGGTATGGCACGAAAATGATAACAGGACGCAAGAATATAGCGTCAGCCATTAAAATAAAATAGATAAATAATTAAAGGGTTAAGAATAACACAGTATTAAAACAAAATTTTTGGAAACGTAGAAAAATAAATTTGCTAATAGAGAAGTTTTCGCTGATAATCGAATACATTTAGAGGTTGCGATAAATCGGATCGTTATTACCGTACGACAAATGTTTCGCCATACCGTGGGGCCACGTGTATCACACACAGGCAACTGAATTAATTATCAGCGACGCCGAAACAACACTTTCCGGCCAAGTTAAATAAGCGGTTAACGTTGAATTTTCATTTCCCGCCTTGTTGACACCGATACAGCCGAATTTCAGGGACGATCGCAAAGCTGTGCCACGTGCGATAATCAAGGCCACGTCCGGCTTGGCGAAGAAAAACACAAAGCATAATAATTGTACGAGACTAGGACGTATGACGAGAAAAGAAATTTCTACGATCTACCTGTTACGACCAACAGACAAGATGAACATCTTTTGGACTTTATGAATGAACAATTTCTACGTTGAAAAAACTGAAACTCTTCTGCGAGAATAAAATAAATAACGAACAGAATAGATTAGGGTAGAATAGTACCATTTGTGGAAGAAATTAAAATGATTTCCATTTTCTTGTCTTTTGGAATTATCTAATATGGCAAACGAGGGGCTTGTATATTTTTCACTTTGGTGTACCTATTAGTTATTTAGCAGCAAATGGTGCGTGAATCTTTCAAGTGGCCACAATTGGTACATCTATCCTATATTTATCGTTCGAAGTTGTAGAAAAACAAGTAAACCGAAGAGGTCTCATCTTCTAACGGTATGAACGACTATATATCCCGAGATTTCACCAAGTGAATCAGCTATTACGAAAGCTCGAACTTTGATAAGAGAATTAATACGAGACACAGAGACAAATTTCACTTTTAAAAGAGTAGTTTCTTCGAGAAAGAAAGAAATTCGAATTACAGAAAGGATTATACAAATATATATAATCGTTTCATACCTGTCACGCACGCACGTAAAAGTATACCGGAAGTCAATGTCCTAAGTTCAGTTAGCCGGTTGGATTACAATGCACAGAACACGGTTGTACCCAGGGCCACGAAAGAAATATTAACATCGACTATTTAGATTATATTGTAACTTTTGGATCGGTATTCGGACGCAACACGGATCGCACGATCACGAAAAAGTTCACGGTTACGTAATTTAATTGGCGTAGTATTAAGCGCGATTTTAAAACCTTATGTAACGACGCGAGGGAACCGAATAGACGAAAACCTACTCGCGTCAGACACAATAATCCGTCTCGAGTATATTACCGATATGAAACCGTTAATATTTCACCGGCTTTGAAAAGTCACTTTCGTTTGCCCGTGTGTGTGTGTACGCGTCATTATACGTGCTCTATTGACACGATGAACCGTTTGACGATGTCTAATATGTATTCCTTCAAATTTGTTATTATCGAAAAGGAGTTTATAGGAAATGTTCTAAAATTCAAGTATTTAATTACATCAACACGTTCTTCATCAGTATTCACACTTCCTCTTTTTATAAGATAGTATTTAATAAATTAGTATCCCTTTAGATCCTGCACGTGTACTATAAGTATTATGATATTCCTTTTTATGAGGATTTAATTATAATAATATAGATGAATATAATGTAAAAAATAGTATATTTTACGAACGTCGTAGTGAACGCGTTAAACGACAATCTTTCTCAAAAATATATTCCACGTAATGTTATTAGCATGGTTAATAAGCATTATTCTACATGACAATAATGAAATATTTTTCTAGAAAAGTATTTAAAGGGATTGTAAAAAATAAGATTCGAAAGAAATGAAAAAGTATCAGGCATCTTCGATTGACAAGAAAAGGCGCGAAACCTATCGACGCGCGCGTGATCGGCGAGTCGTGTCGGTGGAATTCTAACCTCAAAACCGGAAACGCGATTACAAATGGAGAACTGGTGAATAGAAAATTGGCTAATTTACCTCGCGGTATCGCCGTTTTTCTCCTCGATGTCTAGCCGCTCCATTTCCTTTGACAACATACCACCTTCCGCAAACTTATCCAGGGACATGATGATTATTTATTTCTTCGTTCGTTGAAAAAATTCACACAACAAAAAAAGAACCGATGGATTATTTACAACAATACTCGACGTCGTTTTTTAGCACTGTTCAATATAATATATATTATACTATATATATAATATATTCTTCTTATTTTTTTCTTCTAATTATCTTTTAACGCAGCTTTTCACAGTTAGCTGCCGCTAATAGACTGAGGTAGACAAACACTGGCACTAAACACTGGCTGATTTCTCGTTCGTACGACCGAACGAGCACGAATGAAAGAGAGGAGAGCAAGAAAAAGATGAAAATAGGACACACGACGTCGTATATGCGACGAATACACGAACACGACCGACGTACCAACTCTTTCGGGTTGTCCGTACAGTAGCGTCCTCTCTCGTTTCCTGAATTTCGTACTCCTTCGCGCGTGTTCCTCCTCCCCTGTTTCGTTTTAATCGTACACGCTTCGTCTCTTTCGTTGTACACGCTCTTTTCTCGCCGTCTTCACACCCTTTCGCGTATTTTTTTTTCTTTTTTTTAATTTTCTTTTTCACGATGACACACGAGATTACGCGTGACACACGATGCAAAGGAGATCGAAGAAATCCAAGTAAAAGACGATCACACGGCACTATTTGGAAGTTCCTTCAGGATAGAGTACTCGTTCGTCTTGTTCTCTCAACGAGCGTCGAAGGGAACCTCGCGCGGGTGGAGCAGTTTCGTACTTTCCTCCTTGCCTCTGCTCCTCGGCTTTCTACTACCGTGCCTTCCCTTACCCGTCCCTCCAATTCGTCCTTCTTTCTCGCACGCTGCCTTCTATTGCTCTTTCTCTCTGGCCAACCAAGAAATCCCTCCACGTATCGAAGACGCGCGAGCACTTTTACCAACTAAACGGAGGAGACAGCCCAGAGCTCGTACGTGATTGGTTGCACGGGACGATTCTGGGACCGTGCGTTATCCGGTTCCCGCTATTGCTCTCTCTCTTCCTTCTCTCTCGCTCTCGAAAGAATGATGAACACCGTTTCACGCGATGACACAACGGGTTAGAAAAGCCGGTAGAAAAGGAAGGAAAAAAAGAAAAGATACGTTCCACAGAAATGACGTTGGTCCTCTTGGTGCGTAACACTTTTATGTATCAGAGAACCACGTGGATGAAATTCGGTTGTGTTGGACGTGTAAGATATCGGTGCGCGTGGTATCACTCAGCCGAACAACGAAGTGACACAACACCCGGCTTTCGTTTTCGTGGCGGCGTTTATACTATGTTCGTAAATGACACTGGCCTTTCTTCGGACGTATACGTGGGTGCGCCCTCTCTGTTCTCCGGTACTCCTTTTTCTTCCTCTCTCGCTCTTTCAATCTCTTCCTCTTTCCCTCTCTGTCTCTTTTTTCTCTCCCTCTGTCTCTTCCACCTTTTTTTCCTTCCTCTCGTGCTGTACCCCTTTCTCCGTTTCAGCCGGCCGTTTCGATCAGCGCTGCTTGCGATCACGACGAATGCGCGACGATCAATGGGGCATAAACGCTTTCGAGACAAGGGAGATTCTCGTCCGAGTTTCACGCACACCTATCGGAAGGGCGTACGCACACGGATGTCGATTACGGAAGAGAAAAAAAAACACACACGGCTAGAGAGCAGCGTGCTACACTGACGGCGGTTATATTGGCCGGGATATCTAACGAGAAGCGCGCTGGGAACACTGATATTATTTTTATAACAACGCGGTGCGCGGCCGTCCTAGGCCGCGCCCAATATACCCCCACCTTCAACTAGCTTTACTCCCCTCCACAAACTGTTACTCCCTCTCCTACTCCTAGGGGAAGCCTTACCGTTCCTCCCCACCAAACACGTACCGTGTAAGCCTCGGGGAGAAGGGTGAATAGGAAAAGGTTCTCCGCTATCCTGCGTGGGTATATCAAAGCCGGAACGATATTTTCTTCGCGTGAATGCCATCTTGCTACGATCGTTTTCCTTTTTCTTCCTGATTACTATATCAAAACTCTTCGAACTTTCAATAAACCTTACGATACTTTTTCATGTATACTTGCTCCAACTATTCAACGCTATGCGCATTCCATCGTACAATTCCATAATCGGTGCACACGTTGGTCGCGTAAGGAGTCGCCATCTGATGGGCGCCGGCAAATACTAACATTTGTTTTTCCATTTTTCCGGGCTCCGTTCCTACGTTTCGTTTATCACACTTCTACGAAAAGACTGGGCGTAGAATTTTTAAATAAAAATTATACCGAGTCATAGTGGATAACAATTTTTCTGTTATTCAATAAATAGCTCCCTTACGTTAAAAAAAATTATAATCAATTGTAGGTATTCCTCGAATTGCCGAATAGCTAAGAAATGTAACGCTTCAGCCCCTAGCTCGTCGACATCAAGAGCACTTCTCTGATCAACTTGTAACTCAAAAGGGGGAGACTAAAAGTGCCCAGCTACCAGGACATTTCTAAAAAGACACCGCTGCACGTTATTCTACACTTGTACTTATATTGGTCTCACGACTCATTAGCACCCTAATCACCGAGTACCTTCTGCGTAGGATGTTTGAATCCGCGCGTAAGGTTTTAGTAAAAATTTGGAAGCGAAAAAAAAAGAGTGAAATCATTGAACAACAAAATACGGATTCCTTGGTCTCCGTAGAGGCGCAGGATTGATTCCGTTACGGAGCTCTCTTTGTTCGGCCAGGTAGAAAGGAAGGATTCGCCTTTCTTTTGTGCATGCCTGCAGGTATATGGGTGCAGGTCGGCCACGGGTATTCGTGGCTTTTCTGCGCTCACGTTTCATCGTCATTATCTTTGGCAATGACGAGGGTGTTATCCTTGAACTAGATTTATCATTCACAGAATCGTGGCCGTATAGCACTTGAATTTCTGATCCGTCCAAACGCCTGTTGTAATTGTGTTCCGTTAAGCCGTCCTAAAACCGAAAGCAACCTTCGCCTTTCATCAAATGCGCGCCCCTTTTCGTCAAACTATCTCTCATAAATTATATATGTCATTTGTTGGGAAATGTAGAATTTCTATTGTCGTTTATTGAACTACGATATATCCTTAACACTGTGTCAAACTACATTTATCACAGATATGATTAATTAATTTTTTAATCAAAGTTTGACCAGCTGTCTGTCAAATTGGAATAAAATAAAAAAAAAATAAAAATTATTTTATAGTGGCAAAAATAATTTAAAAAATATTGAGATATTGAGAAAAATAATTCTGGGTAAATTGTTAGTTCCGTGAGTACAGGTTCCATTCAAAAACACGATTATCCGTACGATTGTAATTTCAAAGACAAGTTCTGCTGGGATTTCGTCTGAATGGTACACCTGTACAACTTGTGCTATGATCTCCCGGAAGAAAACAAATGATGATTACAAATCACCGAATTACGCAAAGGGGGTTAGAGGATAAAAAAAGAGCATGGAACCCCGCGAGGGGAGTGGTCACATAACCGAAGAGACGTTGATCCATTATAAACAAGTGGACAGCCAGTTATAATACCAGGTCGAACTTGAATTTTGAATGTGTCGTTTGGTCGCGTGGATGCACTATGAATTTTTATTATACAGACTGACTTAACAAGTGATAGAAACAACTTTCATCGTGACAAAACAAAGTCGTTTCTCTAAGTTTGTAGGATACAAATTCGCATTAATTACGATTGAATTTTTGAGCGATTCTTCAAGTATAAATATCAGCTAATTAATACATTCAGAAATGTAGTATTTGGTCTCTTTTGAAACGCGGTTCCGAGAATCCATGGTTGTACGTAAATTTCGTCTGAATGACTGTAGAAACTCGACAAATGCTAAGTTTGGAAGGAATGGCATCGAAACGGCTTCGACATTCATGTCGAGACAAAAGGGTAGAATTTACCTCGAACCGCGTGGCGGCTCTTTGTTCCTCTTGATAATGATGCTTGGGATAGGTTAGGTGTTTAAAGATAATTAATAGTTACAAGGCTCGTAAATATCGGTATCAATGAAACGTGGCTGGAGTACGACGTGGGGTCGGTAAATGGTTTCCGGCCGCGTAAGAATGGATCTGTTGTTTCAATTTCTTAGATATTATCCCTATTCTATGAAAGCTATTCGAGGTTCTGATCCGTCGGATTACTCTTAAGAAATAAATATCGAATTTGATACGCATCAATATGTAGCGTAAGTATATCTGCTTTACAAGCATTCACAATGTTCCATTTAAAACGGTCCCGAATACGTCAACTATAATCTGAACCGTAATTACTTGGTCAGTGTTGTCAACGGAATTTTCAATGGCAATGCCATCCACGTGATTACATAAAATCGACGAGTGGGTAGTTTAATAACTGGGACGGCTATGGAAACGAACGATCCGAAACGATGGGAACGAACGAGAGCGGCTTTTACCCCTCCAGGGTGGATCAGCCGGTGGAAGGAAAGCAAGGAGGAGCGACGTAATTCGGGACAGGAGGAAAGGGTCCTCCACAGGGAGTATAGAAGACGACGGGTGTACAGGGGTAGAGGGAGAATTTAGATGGGGACAGGAATGGTAACGGCGGACAAGAGAGAAAGAGAGATAGAGAAACAGAGAGGGAAAGAGAAATGCGAGGGCGCGTAAGGGTGGCAGAGGCCTGGAATCAATAGTGGCCACGCACCCTTGAAGAATTTTCGCACCAGCAGCCCGGATGTCTCAGGACGAGCCGGGAAAACTTTCTCTGCCTCTATCGGATTCTGGTTCACGGTGACGAAAATAAAATTAGAAGTATGGTATATTTTCTTAAAGAAAGTCTACGAGGTGTTATCGTTCATATTCGGCGAGGAACCTTGTGTTTCAACGACGAACGGAAAACAATGAGAGACTGTAAGAGAAATGTTTAATATTTTGTGGAAGAGCATGTAGGACGAGTCAATATGTGATAACATATCGATTGCCATAAATGCAGGAGAAATTTTTAGAAAATTTTCTCAAACTTAAATACAATAAAGAAAATTGTTCATATATTAAAATTAGAAGTGATTTATTGTTGTCCTACATTTATGGTAATTTAAGGAATTTCAATCACAAGATAATTTGGCAAAAAAGTTTCAAGGTAAAGAAACTAATTCGAAATTAATACATCGAATTACTCAGCGTGAAAACATTAATTACACAGTGTTTTGAGTAAGAGAAAGTGTCTTATAGATGAGTGAGCAAAAGTAGAAAGGTTAGGAAAAATGGCTCACCTCCAACCACTTCCAACTTGGCCAAGTGAAGATTCTGGTAGGGCGTCGCCGCTACCCCTGAAACAAGGAAACGGGAGGCTGTAGGATATATAAGGATACAGGAATACTAGGATAATAAGATAAGGTATTCAGGATCAGTATAATCACCCTCTAGCTCAATACATGCGTTCCGGAATCTCAAAAGAAGAAAAAAAAATACGTTATCAAAATAGTTTAAAGATTTTTTCTGCGTAAAACGAGTCTGTTTTCTTTTTCTCATTAATCTTTTCTCCGAGTACTGCGAATGTTGCAACAAAGATTCCCTGTGTTTGATCGCGTATTCTTTTTGGTCTGAACAGACGCGAGACTTACAAAGTTCGAAAGTCGGGGCTCGACATTCACGGGGATAAAAAAGTTTCTTACCGCAGATAATTGGAGGCCTCCGCGACATGCATATTAATTGTGGTCTATCTGACAGAGGATGAAAAAAGAATTAATAATAACCGCGTCACGGTGATACCGATCTGGCCGGTCGGTTGGCCAGGTGCAGCGTCTTCCGTGATCCGTGCATATTCTTGGGGGTTTCTTTTTCACGGTGTCGTTCTTTTGCCTCGGTCACGCCAATTAAGAGGCATCGCCGTTAAAATCACCTTTACGCTACTTTCCTTACCAGCTACCGTGCTTTCAATTTGTTCCGAGAGAAAATTTTGATTTTCGTTTTTTTTTTTTTTTTTTTTTTTTGGAAAAGTTTCACTTTCACCGTTTCCACAGAAGACTTCGAATTTTTAATATTATATTCTACTATCCTAATAATGTTACAAATTATATATAAAAATATATATATATATTTATATTTATATTCCGGGCTTCATCAGCTCATTTATTTTGATGGAATGATTGGAAAACGAAGGCGTCGAGAGTGATTCCGATGGATCACAGCAAAAACTGCATTTTTTCGGAACATCAAAGGTTTAAGATTTAACAATCGGCTGTTCTTGTATCGTCTTAAAGCGGAACCATTGATGCACCATTGCTACGACGAGGTGAGTGCATTGAAGGCAAGGGAAGATGAAAGAAAAAAAGGGAAATGAGGGGAACACGCGAAAGAGGAGGGTATATAACAATTATTGCACGTCAGCGTACCTCAATTTTGAGATAATTAAGCGAGGCCCTTTACACCTGCGGATTGTGCCATGTCTGTACACGCGCATACCCGTGTAATTCTTTTTTCACCATGACGATCTCTGCTCATCTGTGGATGTATACGCGTGATAAGGAATCGGGCGATGAAAAAAATCGCCAGACGGAAGAAAAATTAAACAGAAACAAACCCTAACCGCCTCCGCTTTTTGTTCGAGAAAAAAAAGAGAACAGCTATCGTCACGGCGGAACGTTTTGTGCATCTTGACTTAATGTTCTTACGTGCCCTTTTCTTCAAGGATGATTAATAGCTATTAACAAGGGAAACGAAGCACGGCAACGCTCGAGAC